TTTTCAGTGGTCATATACAAAATAAAATAAGGAAATCTAACTGAAAATCAGGAATTATTCAGAATATTCACCACCCAATTGAATTTATACCCACAAAATAACACATCTGAGCAAAAGATTTCCCCCATGCAAATTATCTTTGGAAAGCTTTTTGTAAAAATGTGTCTCACTAAAGACACATCTAGTCCTTTATGTTAAGCTTATCTTAACAACTTAGAATAAAAAAGCAACCTTCATATCATTTACAAGCTTAAAGCAATAAACTGAATATTTTTTCAATCATCCTGCTTACTTTAAACATGCAAAGAGAATTACTAGTTTTGAAAGAAAGAAGACTATAATCTTCAGGGCTCTATAAATTCTCTTATTGAGAAAAAAAAAGGCTGGGTATTAGAGGCACTAAAACCAGTTTAAAAAGAAAAAGAATCAGTGCAGAAAATTAATAAAACCAATTGTTTAGCATCATGCAGACAAAGCTATTGATTGCACTATCAGTTGATTGCTTTTTCTAATTTGTGAATTTGTGATTAATTTGAATATGGTTATAAAAAAGACAGATCATCTGTGATTCACAATTAGAGTTCTTTGGTTGGTTGCTTGATTCTCCTGAGGATGAGGGTCAGAGAGGGTGTGGCAGTGAGCGACCATCAGGGTGGGGGCCTCACCTGAAGGAAGAGGTAATGGAATTATCCACAACTGTGTGTCTTTATTTGCCCGAATAACTGTCTCCCCTTTATTTTGAGCTATGGGGTATGCTATAATAGAACCTGCAAAGTCTTTCATTCTGCTTCCACCCATTTATCTTTTTAAAAAGCAGATTCAAATATATAAAGTCAAAAAACCTTTGATATATTGAGAAGTGAGCTGCTCTGTTTGTAAACAGGGCAGTTAAATTATATTTAAATATTTTGTCAATAATTTTGTATATTATTAGAAGGGCATGTGTCGTGAGAGACATTATGATTTTAATTACAGTTAAAAACTTCAGACAAGGCACATGAAAATAAAGTATTAACCTAATGAGAAAAACTGTAAACACTTTGGTTAACCCTAAAACATTTCTTAAAAAGAAATTGTAAGGCAATAAAAAAAATTCCTAGAAATAATTTTAGTATAAGATGGTGTTAATAAGACAACTTTTAAAGTTTCTAATGAAAGGTATAACTAATTTGTTTTATTAAATTATGCCTCACATCACCATTTAAGTCAAAATGGCTTTTATAAAGATGGCAGGGAGCAGGAAACAAAGAAAAAACGAAACAGAACTTGATTTTAAATATTTAAAGATCCCACTCAAAAAAAATCATCTTACAAAGCAGAAGAACTTTTTCCTCCTCAATATATTTCCATCCTCAATACATTTCTATTTGCAATACTAGCAAAAAAAAACAAATACAATTGTCCCACCTATAATCAAGACTATTTTTACTGTCACAAGAATGTTAAAACAATAGTGTTTTACAAACAGCATCAATCTTATAAATGAAGTCTTAAAAATACACACTCTTATCTTTTGCATTCACTTTATTTACGAAATGACTATAAGAAATTCTCTTTCAAGATGATTCTCAAAATTCGCCCAAGGGTTGCCATTCATGTTCCAAATACTGAAAATTCTCAGGAGGAACATTGGGATCTTTGTCCACCCGATCTGTTGTTTCTTGTAGTGACACCCAGGAGCTAGGCCAGAATTTGTCTCCAACGCTTGCTTAAAATGCAGATCAGAAGATCTGAGGTTGGGCCTAGGAATATGCATTTAACCATTCCTCCAGGGCTTCTGACACACGCGGAGGTTGGGGACCCTCCGGGAGAACAGGGCCATACGAAGCTGCGTGTCCCCTGCGCCTGGCCCAGCGCCCGGCACAGAGCCGCGCCTCGCAAAGTGCAGTTTAACTGCACAACCGCACCGCGGCACCCATGTCTGAGCCCCGCAGCAGCCTTCTCAGCTCACCGCTGCGCGCAATTCCTCAGCGCATACCATGCACCCGAGGCTTGGAACGCGTGGGGAGCCAACGCCTTGCTTTGTGTGTTACTGAACTGCCATCCCAGCTAGATGATAAATTCCTGAAGGAGAAGGTTTGGATTTGGGTGGGTTTCTTTTCTTTTGCTCATTCAACAGTTACTGTATAAATATTTATTGAGCACTTATTCCATGCCAAATACCATATATAGAACTGGATGTCTAGCAAAGAATAAAACAGGTATGTTCCCAGATCTCTGGGAACTCTGTGACTCCTGTAATGGTTCTCAAGAGGAATGACCCCACTACCTAGGGGCGTTTTAAACATTTTGATGGGTGTTTTTGTCTACTAGCATGGTGGTGTCAGAGCATTTACAGATTACATATATATGATCTTGTTATATATTTTTCTTTCATATTTACTATGTATTATAATTACGAAATTACACATTTTTTTTAAATGATGTCTGTAGGTAGGTATTATCTTTGAATTTGATTTGATTATTAAACTCAGCATCACAAAATATGTATTATCAAAAGGGGGCATTGGGTCTAATATGGTTGAAAATCCCTGACCTGGCGAATATTTTAACATTAACTTGAAGATTCCCTTAGCATAAGCACGGTGATATTTACAAAGTATTTGCTTAATAAAAAATGTATAACAATGGAGTAAGTAATTTCACCAACAATCTCCTGATTCTACTGTAAACTTCTCTTTAGTCAGTAAAAGTTTTCACATCGTTTTCAGACACGTGCATTGGTGGTCTGTAGTTAAATACTGTGTCTACATGATAGCAGGTGACCGAGAGATTTAAAGGTACATCAACTATTAAGTCGGCTTTACTTAGCACCTACTCTGTCACCCTGAGGACATTCTGACCAACCAGGTGGCGATCATTCTCTAAATGACTTTTAAAAAAAAAAATCAAACTGCCTATTTTAATGTAGCTATATTATCTAGACTCGGCCCCATTCAGCAGTAAGAGAAACTTAAAAAAAAAAAGTAGGCAAGATTTATCCTACAAGTAGGTATGTTCTTGATCTTTTTTTTTTGAAGGACCAAGTAAAGAAATAAAAATTACTCAAATGCTATTAAAAAGCAATAACAATTCAAGACTTTGGGAGCGCTTTTCTTCATTGGAGTGCTAAATCACAAGAACGCTAACCAAGTTCTACCTTCTTTTGTGAATGATCGTGACTAGGCAAAATCTTTAAACAGTTATCCTATGCTGATTTACATTGGTGATGAAACGTTCCTGAGATAGCTCTTGTTTTTGCAAATTCGGGTACAGCAAGAGAAATCAATCTTTAGCATCCTGCAATACTCTATCAGCAAATGAAGAGGCAGAAATGATAATGAAGTGATGCCCAGCCCAGTTCCAACAAGCTCGTCATCACCCTGCTGTGTGAAGACTTCACTGTATCAGGAATGGCACATCTCACCCAAGACACCCCTCTCTAATCAAATCTGTCCCCCCCTTTTGGTAAACAGGAACCACCAGGATGCCTATAATCTGGCTTGCCAGAATGACTACAAATTTATAGGAGAGAGGTTAAAACAAACACAAATAATTTAAAATGCATTAAGTAGGAAATGCCTCTTTGGACTAAACTACATTGTAAATTTTATAAACAATGTCAGAAAGCATTTGTAAATCTTATTTTTTCCTTTCTGCAAGCAAAGTGACATTCATATCGCTTACCTCAGCAGTATGAACAGTTGTATGAAAACTTTAAAAAAATAGTAAATAGCTTTTATTAAACTAAGAGGTTGAATCTAAAAGAAATGTATAAAATGTGTTTTTTTTCTATAAACTTACTCTAACAGTTTCAATTTCCTGGGCTGCAACTAATTTAATATTTAGTGTCATTAATGCTTTAGTGTAAGCATCCCTTTCTATGTAACCAGTAAAAAGCTGAAACAATCAATGTAACATGTTAAGACACAGGCCTCTGGTCAGTGTGACATTTTAGGCCATAAACGTGTCCATCTGTGAAATAAAGGGTTATTCTCTTGTGGTGTGGGACACAAGAGAAACTCCTATAGTGTGGATAGTGGTGTCTAAGCCTGTAGCACATAAGTGCTCAGAATTCTGCAGTATTGGATTGATTTTCAATTATTCCAGTACCTCTTCCTGTGGCTGTTGTTTTTGGTCTGAGCCCCTATATGAAATAAAGTGCAAGTAAGGAGCAGCGAAGACTGTGGAACCCTTCAGAGCAATGCGTTCCCTGTCAGAATGGTGCAGAGAACTGGAACATTTAGGAAGTCTATAAACCACAGTGAGTCCATTTCAGCTTAACCCACCATTCTGTCTGCTTCAGCCCAGGATGTCCAATCCCTTCCTTTCCTTCCTTTCCTTTCCTGGGAGGAAAATGGGAGAAAGAGGGTTTATGTATGTCCATGTGAGTTTCCCAAAAAAAGAAAAAATAAGAACAAAGGAGAAAATGAGAGGTAGTCATAATCATCAACCACATTCCACTCCCAGCTTAGGTGATGCTGACGGCGGAAGCAGGATCCCACTGCTTTAATTGGGATCCAAGGACAACAGATGACCCATCAAGAAAGAGCACACTCACGGGTCTCTGCAGCCATACCTACCACGGGACTGTGGACAAGCATGGCCCTCGCACAGCAGTGGGCGTTGGGGCCCTCACCCAGGCTAACCCATGTGTGCTAGGATGAACTCCTTGACAAAGTCCTCGTGCTTCCAAACACATGTATTCCTGCAGGTTCAGAAGAAAAATGTAAGAAAGCAGCCACTTTGTCCAGGGTTGAGCAAAACCATAGTTTTCATGGTCGGCTGGAAATAGTCACTGAGGCTGCAAGCCCTGCATTCCCTCTGTCTTTCACTTCACCTCCTGCCACTCTCTTCCTTGCTATCTTCCTGGGCATCTTATGGTTCTCAGCTCTGGTTCTTCTTTATACATCGGCTTAAATCACGTCCTCAGGGAAGCATCCCCAACTCACCCCACTGAAATGGCCTCCCGTCATAAACCTTGCACTTCTTTTTTTATAACACTTGGTACACTTGTATTTATCTAAAGTTTGTCTTTTCAGATACACTGCAAGTTTCATGATAGCAGGGACCATGTCCGTGTGGATCACCATTATATTTCCAATACCTGTTCCTTGCATGGTAAGGTGTTTAATAAAATGTCAGTTGAAGGAGTGAATAATATTGTAGTGCCAGCTGATGGCAAATAATTTCTGCCATGGGACTCTGTAGTAAGTTCTCTGAACAATGAGCAATAGAGCCATGGACGGCATGGATTAACTATAACATTGCTTTAAAGACCAAAGTTCTTAACATCAAACCCTACCAACTTCTCCAGGTCCGTCTCTCACCAGATTTTTCTTACTAGCTACTATCTAATCACACTATTTCTTCAATTCTTTGTATGCCCCATGGATTCCTTTACATGCGGGTGTTTTAAGGGGCTGTTTCCTTTGTCTGAAATGTTCTCCCCACCCCTATCTTAAGTCTGCCTTTCATAGCCTTCTCGCGGTTGAATTTTGCATTTATTTCTATAACCTTTCAATTTTCCACCAAATTGTGCACTCTGTGAACCTGGGGCAATGTTTTCTTGCACTCACTGTTGTGTCCGAGCGCCTGGCACGGTGTGGGCACCCTATAAATATCGTGGCATGATTGCATGGATGAACAAATGAATATATTTTACTGTGGCTAAAATCGTCCAACTGAAACTACCATCTCCTTATTGGTATTTATTATAATATTTTCTTTGGAACTCTAAATTCTTCCATTCCTTGTAAAGATGAAAGAAAGCCCCAAAAATGTGCCACCTATTTCATAATGGTGCCCATTTATCAAGTTGAGAATTTTTCACAGATATACACTTGATTTCCCAGTTCTTGGATTTCTGCAGAGGATGCCTCGCCTATGGGGAGGGTTCGCCTTTGAATCCGTGGCTTTGGCTTTATAACCTTGAACTGTGGTCTGTCACGCTCAGTGGTCCTTGCTACTGGTTCTTAGCAGATATAAGCTAAGTTACTACTCTTTTAAAAATAGGTCCTAAGGACTAGATCAAGGTGGATTTGTTTAAGATCTGTGTCAGGCCAGTGCAATGAAAACTACCCAAATTTCTCGCGTTTGACAGGAGGCCCACCCTCCCTCTCTCTCGTGCACAGCCTGATTGTTGCCCATGGTACGCTGCATGATTGGAATTGGTATTTTGATTTCTTGCCTCAAAATGCTAAGGCCTGACATCACCTCTCATCAGAAATATCTAAAATTGATTTCTTAAAATGGAATGAAAGTGACATTATGGATTACACAATGGGAGGCTAGACACTGAAGTAGACTCCCGAAGAAATAGATAAAAATTTACTCTGCTTAATCTCAGGAGCCCTCTGGGTGTGAGCCACTTGACAGAATGAGGCTTCTTTGCTCGCATTCCTCCATTTTTGCTGTTTTAAACCACAGGTCATCTTAAAGTAAATGTAATCAGTTAGTCAATCCAACAGCCTTTTTGCTGATCCGGGCCCAACTGTGACAGAATATGTGGGAAGTTGACTTTGGTCACCAAACCCAAGCTTTCCAAAACTGCTGACGTGCCAGACGCAGGTTTACTTATAGACATATGTCAGGGGCACACTGCGTGCTCTGGCTCTCAAACAGAGGGGTTTCGGAGTTGTTGGCTCTGTAGCTTGCAATTTAAACACTGGAACAAAAGTATTCTTCTGGGTAGTGTGGGTGCAGTGTTTGCAAGCTGTGAGTTGTTTAAGCTGAGTTGCCCCACAAGGCAATTACTGGCACCATTTCACTATCTTTCTGCTCTTCTGATGTGGTACTCATTTTGTTTGAGGCATTGGCCTAATTTAGGAGGTACCGGGATTCTGTTAGGATTAGCCCCGAGCCCTCCTAGGTTTGGGGAATGGGTAGGCTCTGTGCAAACCACAGTGCCCACTGCATAAATTGAAACACTAAAAAAAATAAATAAATAAATTTGTACATCTAAAATAATGGAACCAGCATCTAGGAAACAAAGCTGATGTCTGCAGATTATAGGATCTTACCCCTTCTTGAGTTGTCACACTTTGGCCCCCTTCCCTGGTAAAACTTACAAATAAATGTTTTGAACAACAGCGAAACAAAACAAAAAACACTCTGCTTTTAGATTGACATTTGAAAGCTCTATCAGAGCTCTGTGCCCTTACTGTTCAAACTTTGCAGGGATCTCAGGGACCAGGAAAGCGTCTTCAACGTGTGAACACACGAGTCTTCACCTAGAAGAGTCAGCCAGGTGGGTCTCCGAGATGCCCAAGTGGAGGAGAAGCAAGGCCTGCAGAATGAGGTTAGAGGGCCATAGCAACAGGTCAGTGCCTGCGATTTCCCTCGCTTTTAAATTACATCAGGTTTGGGCCTTGGTAAAAATCTGTAGTCTTGTGGGCCCTGGGAGATGGGGAGCTTCTAAGCTGCGTGACAAGGAGGCTTCAAGGTGGAAGGGGACCAGATTGATGCTCAAAAATAGAGTTGCATTCAAAGGTCAATGAAGGTCATTCCTTAGATGTGAATGAAAACCATTTTGTTTGGGGTTTTTCTTTTCTCTCTTTTCAGTGAACTTTAATTTTTGGAAAGCAAAGTGTGGACAGATAGACTTTTAAAAGAAGTTATAAGAATTGAACCCATTTTCTTGATCTATTTCAGAACAATCTACTTTGCTTCATTAGATTTGTACTAGCATAAAAATTCAGGTCATTAATCTGAATTTCTTTAATATAGTAGTTATGAGATTCAATATGAATATGCTAAGTAATTGTGCACTTTATATTTGGGGCATATATATAATTATTAATATACATTGTTAATAATAATGATCTAAGACATGCTAACTTGGCTTTTCTTTGCAAAATGATTTAATCATTGTCAAATTCTCCATACTACTGATATCACTCAGAATAATTTCTTTTAAAAATTTGTGATTTGTTAAAAAAGGCTTTGCCTCAAAATATCTAGTTGTTACTGATATGAATTCAGGAAGCATGGAGTTAAAGAAATTGGCTTTTTTTTTTCTTAAATCTGAACAATTGGAATCAGCAATTTGCATTATTTTAAAAATGAATGCTTAGAATCAGCAATTTTCTTGGTTTTTTTTTTAAAGATCTTGAGGGTTTTTTTTATTTAAAGTGGAAAACTACATTAAGTGCAAGGCAGTCAACAAAGCAGCAGCCATAAAGCTTAAGTATTCCTAGAGTTATAAAATATGTCCATTGTGCCAATTCCACCGCCAACAATGAAGTTTTAAGCATTAATATGCCTTCATTGCAGTTTTAATGCCTTAATATTGACTCTATAGCTCTTTTGGGTAATTTTGCTTTCTCTGGTACTTGAAAGGTGATGATGTCAGCGTTCTTCGCACTGATTCATATGCAGGTTGATGAAGCTGAGTTATTTATTGAGTTCCATTATATTTTCTATAAACATTAGTTCTCAATAAACAGAGACATTTCGCCGAGGGTTTATTTATTAAATAGGTACTGTACAGATGGTTTTGCCACACATGATGTGCTGCGGAGGATATTACTCAGGAATAATCAGCTGTGTTATAGCTTGGCTAAATTAATAAGATGATAATGATGAAATTGATGCTTTTGAGCTAGGCTTGGTAAATGGTTTTTGCATAAACAAACTGATAAATTTGAGAAGCAATTACTTGCTTGTCAAAGATAAAAACACAACAGGGCCCATTTATAGTTAGGTCCTATTTATTTTTAAAGATTGTACCAGATTTTATGTTTAATATGCTGCAATTAAAAAATAATACTTAAATGAAGAAGAATAAAAAAAAGACTAACTTTCTGAGTTCTCCTTCAAATCTGAAGAAGCAGCGTTCCTTGATTAGACATCAAGCAAACTTTTTCGCTGCATCTGAAGGGAAAATGTATCTGACAGACCACGGGGTAACATTCTACATAAATTCTTTAATCATATGGCACATTGCAGAGACAGCTGATGGAGAACTCCCTCTACTCCAATTCATGCCCTTCCTCAGACACACAAACACACAGAAAAAGGGAGATACACAGACACACACTTAATAAGGGGCCCTGCCAAAACTTTTTTTATCTGGTTCCCAAATAGCAAGGGAGATGTTTAACCTCACTTCAAGTGTTCTATAAATGGCACAGAAGTCGTCCACGCTCTTGCACCGAAGGTTGTTCAATTTTTACTTGGAGCCAGAACATGAAAAGTACATGCCTTTGCTAAAATTTACTGATACAATTTCATTACAAAATGCTAGCTTTTTGCAGTGGAAAAGTCAGAACTAACTTCCAAGGTCAGGGAAACATTAACTTCCCTTGCCAGCTTTAGCAGAATTTTTCAAAATTTTGATTAAATCCCACCTTGAGGGGCCACCGTCAAGACCTGAATGTACCCATGTATGCTCCCTTAGTATCAATGTGAGCTACACCTCAGTATATTGTTTACATCTGTGTGTATGTGTGTTTGTGTATTTTTAACTATACAAGAAGAATAATAACCTCCAGTCTCTGTGTATCCTGCAGTATCTTATCAAAAGCTATTTCACACTAAATGACTGTTTTCATTTTTCTTCTCCTTAAAGAGTTTATGATTACCAAAGATAAGTTGTAGCACATTATTTCTACTTGGGTATATTTGCTGGTATCTACAGTGAACTATTCGTCTTACAGAAAGAGAATCACGTGCAAAAAAATTTAAATATCCAAATGTTGGGATCCAAACTTTTGCAATTGTAATACATTTTTTTTTTGAAAAAAGAAAGTGAAGTAACGGGGGCAGAGACCACCACTATTCAAAAGTATAGCATGAAGTTATCGACTGTGAGATGAAATCAGGTACCTATTTCATTAAAACAATTACCTTCTTTGTCTTTTTAAAAGAGTACTTTGATGTCCTTCATTTAAAAATACGTTAACTTAAAATAAATTAATGCTGTGACCTTTAAGTGCAAGCCGCAGCGTTAGAATGGATATTTTACATTTTATTGTTTGTGTGAAATAAATAAGTTACAGCAAAATGCTGTGTATGTGCATGGTAGAAATTCTGTCCCTCTGGCCAGCTTGAAAAACAAGATATTTGTCTTCTCCATAATTGCCAATAAGAAAAAAAATATAATAATCACAAATAAATAAGAATAGGCAGAATTATTTTAAAAATATATAGCATTTATATCACAGAAATTCATAATACATTGGTCTGATATCAGAATGCCTAATGATTTGTTATAAAACTTCACTTGTGATTTTCTCCTTCTGGTTAATTGGAAACAACTGCTCCCCAGGACTAATTACAACTCCATCAAAAAGAAAGGCGAGCGCAAATATGTCTTAAGGGAACGTGAAAACTTTGAAGGTGAGGCGCCATAAACTGAATTAAGGGATGAAATTTAAAACCATTCCATGAGCTTTGCTTTCTAGAGACTGTTGCAATGAGCATCAAGGAAATAAATCCAATGAGTCTTTTAGTGATGATACCAAGAGGCATGAAAGCATAGCATATTGAGATGCCTTAGACAGTGAATCCTACATTGATCAGTTTACAAATTGATTATTGTTAATAGAAATGCTATGCTGGGTCTGCAATATCATATGTTTTACTGAAAATAATTTTTGGTAAGTGCTTAGCAGAAACTTCTGCTGCTTGAAACTGATCTGAATTATTTAACACAGCACTAATATGCGTGTGAACTCTACACAAAGCTATAATCTTGGGAGGAAGCTTGCCTGACATGTATCATTTAGTTCATAATTCAAAATATTTTAAATTACCTGTAAATTTAAAGAATGAACGAGGGCAACAGTGCATCTGCATTTCTTGTTTTTTTACTAAAGATTTCAATATCTGAATTGATTTGCTTTGATTTCAAATGTATATTGTCCCATGTCACCAACCTGAGCATCTGGATGTCCCCATGCTTTGATAAATACCCTGCAATGGTGACTCTTAATAATACACAGCACGCTCCTGACAACTAATGCATGAGTTATTTGGTTCCAATACTAAAGGGACTTGTAAAGGTTTGTTATTTATTTGCTTGGTAGTCTAATGTTCAAAACAAACGTGTAACGTTGAACTAAGGAAATATACCTCTGCGAATTACAACATGAAAGTTGTCATATTTGTGAAGTTGTTTCGAATCAATGTTCAGGTGACACTGACTTTTTTCTCATAGAAATCTCTAGGGAACTACCCTAGTCAAAATTTATATACAGAAAGAAAGAAAACATTTTTCTAGTCAAGAATCTTAACAAATAATTTTAGAATTTAAAAATTTTGTTCAGTTTATGTACTTTATCACATATCTTTTCAACTTATACTAATTTATATTCACCATTAGCTACATTTAATACTCCTATTTTGAACATTAGTAATTTATTCAAATAAATAATCAAAATAAGAAATTAAGCTCTTTTTTTAGACATTTTGACAGTTATTTTTAGGTTTATAATTTAAATAGTACTTTTTTTGAATTTTCATAATTATATTTTGAAATAAAGCAAAATACTTGCAAACATTTACCCAGTTCTAATATATATGAATAAAACCATTCTAATATATTTATTTCTAGCACCAAAATATAGTCATGTTTTTTCATATTTATGAAATTCTCCCCTTTGTCTTAAATAAATTCATTGGTTATGACAACCAAAATCACATTGATTAAATTATTAATTCACATAAAATTAATTCACATAGATTTAGCAGTGGGGAGACTATGATCTCTAAGGGAGAACACAGAAATTCCCGTTATAAACACACATTGGAGCAAGCTCGTCGGTTAGAAAGCTAAATTATGCCGATTACAAAGCAATTGTGTAAGATAGCTTGCATGGATTGGAACACTAAGCAATCATTCAAAATGCGAGCAGAAGAATTTCAAAGGCACCAAGTAGAATGGAATTACAAATTCTTGCCACTTTGTCTCTTAAAATCTGTCTCTTTCATATTTACTCTTCACTTCACTCCTAAATGTAAATATATGTCTCCACCAGGCTAAGAATGCATTCATTCATTGTTTCTTTCTTTTATTTACTTACTGAGTATCTAATATGTGCCCTGCAGGGTACCAAGTGCTGGGGATGCTAAAATGAATCAAGCCAGGGCCGGTCCTCCAGGAGCTCAGAACAGTGGGGAAAGATGAACAGCAGAGTCTAAGAGACATGTATCCCAGTAGACGCAAGTTAAATATGCCATGGAAGAAAAATCCGTTAATGGGGAGCCGTTGAACCAATATGATCAGCTCTTTTATGTACATGAAATGGAGGTATCATAAATCCAGGGAGAAAACTGGGAGCATGAAGAAGTCTGAGGTTGAACTGAAAAAAGAATGTAGTGGATACCCAAGGAGATGTTCTTTCTTCTCACAACATATTCCCTGGGATAAGGGAGGCGAAAGCGGGACCGAAAGTTCTGTTCTAAAATGCAAAGGGATGTAGGAGTGGAAAGGGAAATAAGAGCATGATGGACAAATATCTAAAATTCCTTTCCCTGTTAGAAATGTCTAGACCTTCTGAACATATTCTTCTTCTAGCCATAGGTATTACTTTCTGCTTATATTCCCAAAAACCTCTTTATCTTAGGCAGGGGAATTTTCCATCATCTGTTGTTGGAAAGGAAACTCTTGAAGGGCAGGACAACAATCATGTCTCCCCTCCCCCAACTGATTCCTCTGCTTCTGTACTGAGACTCCCAACAAGGGTGCCAATTAGTGTCAATTGTCATGATGTTTTGAGATGTAGACACCTGTCTTCTAATAACTGGATTGAGACCACCAACTCATTTCACACAGACCATCAAACAGACATCAGCTAGTAATGGCCTATGTTTACTACCAACCTGGGCTCAAGCCAAGGCCTTCTCCCACGCAATTGCTTTAGCATTCTTGACGACAAACAGCAAGTCCAATGTGTGTTCACTCCCCTCCAATAAATGGACCAGCGGCTGCAGCAATAAGTGCCACTAAACAATCGCAGCCACCTCTCATTCTTTGTGTTACCTTCACGTTTGAACTTTGTAGAGTCAGCCTTTCTTAAGCAAGTATTTTTAATACCTCTTGAAGTGGAATGCAGATTAAGATTCATGTATAATTTTTTTTAAAATATGGAAACTAAATTTGCATATTCATGTCCCACCATAAGATGAGGAGGTAAAGAAGGCCTGCTGTATGTTAAATTCCAAGAAGCAAAATAAACAGTATCAACATCAGGGATGCGTGAATTCCGTGTGAAGTATTTTATAACCATCTGCGTATTGTAGTTCTCTCAAATACTTTTTAAAGTAACTTTAGAGTACTTAAGTTGAAGTAAATTTTCTGATTCCCATGCATATTTCAGACTTTAAAGGGAGTTTGTGTTTCTTTCTCAAATTTAATCCAAATTATCAAAAACACAAAAGGAAAAATGGTGTAGAGTAAATGACGCTATGCAAAGAAATTAGAGAGAAAGTCCTAAAGAAGTCCAGGTTAAGGAGAAGTTATTTCCAGCTCCAGTGATAAGCAATAGGGTTGAAGAAGTAGGGGAGAGTCAGTCCGTAGAGGGCTAAGGGATTTGTTGGGGTGAGGGTGTTTCAGGGATATCAGTGTAACCGTATAAGATATACATGATGGACAAAGACTGGAGGCAGGAAGGATAGATAGACGAGAGCGATGGTTGTCCAAGTAAAAGCTAGGGGGTCTTAGAGAGATTGTTGGTAGTAAAGGAGAGTTAGGAGAGAGATTGCAGATTTAGAAATAATACAACTTGTTAACTGAGTAGCTGAGGAGGGAAGGAAGATAAAATTGACCCTACCATGTGCCTGAATGCCTACAAGATGATGAGCTACAAAGAAAAATAATTTTTTTAAAGACACAGGAGGTGCAGGTGCAAGTGGAAGATGAGCTTAATGGAATAGTAGTCATTTCAAAGTGCTGAAGGGACAGGCAGGCACAGCTGTATTTCTGTCTACTTTGAGTCATCTGAGAAGGTGTAATAAAGAAACATACGAGGTAGATGAAAATGTAGGAGACTGCAGAGCTAGAAGAGGACAGAGATTCTTACAAATACAACCCAGTCCCTGCCTTCAGAAGCACATTGTCTAACCATGAAGAGAAGTGTGTATCTTCATAACAACACCAAAAAAAAGAGAAAGTAAGAGTTAACCTGAGAGATGTGTTAATAACACAAAATTTAAATATATGCACATTTGTTCTCTATAATATAATATCTCTAACTAATTTTACTATCCCAGAATTTTTGGAATTCTAAGTCTTGAAAGCTGAAGCCTCTCAGATATCACTGTAGAGCAGTGGCTCTCAAATGGGGATAATTTTGTTCCCCAGGGGACATTTGACAATATCTAGGGACATTTTTGGTTGTCGTAACTGAAAGGCACTACTGGCATTTACTGAATAGAGGCCAGAGACGCCTAATGAAACATCCTACAAGGCACAGGACAGCACCACACAACAAAGACTTATGTGGTCCAAAATGCTGATAGTGGCGAGGTTGAGAAACCCTACTACAAAGTTATTTCAGCACTTTGCTTAATATCATCTAAGGTAGCTGACCAGTAAGGTTCACTAGTGAGATGAGCTAGTATATTTACCTGACTGTTATTTGAGTGTTTCAGAGAGTCATTCAGGATACAAAGAAGACACTAGAATTTTCTAGGGTAATTTTTACCATAAAGTAATATCCATAGCAATTTGGATAAGTACATAGTTTTAAGCATGCACTTAAAATTTCAGGTATTTAAAATGTCCCAATATTGTGTCATAATTCTTTTTCCTAAATTTCTGTTTTCCAAAATTCCATTAACCAGTTCATTCTTCACAGTTCCAGACTATTAAAATGTGAAGATAATGTAGTAGATATAAAAATTTACCTTGACTGACTTCATTGCTAACTTTCCTCTTTGATACCACACACCCTCTCCAGCATTTAAATTCTTGTACACTCTGACCACTTGTTTTGTTATGTATGCTCAGGGATCTCTGCAAACACTTATCTTGCTTTTATGCAGATTTTATTTTGGTGATGCTGCTATCATTGTGTAAGAGTACCTTCAACTAAGCTGTCTACAATGAAGCCAGTCACAGAACTACTTCACATCTGTGATTATAGCTCACAAAGCACTTTCACGACATCATCTCACTCTTCAGGACAGCCCTCTGGTACCACGTGGTACCTCCTAGCACATGTCAGGGATTATCACCATGTTAGGGAAAGGAAACTGCAGCTTAGCAGTGCTATTGAGAGCTGAGACTAGACGTAGGACCTCAGTTGTCTGATTCTTGGTCCACTCAACCACATTACCTACCTGTCAGAATGAGTCTCTCAACATACCTAGTGCCTCTTGCTCCTACCTCCAAGCTCCACGTTCACACTGTTCACCTCTGTATCTCCATCTCATATTGCACCACTGGTGCAGGCAAAATAAAATGCCTCTTTTTCGGAGAATGCTGTTAAGCCTGAAATAACAGACTTCTTGACAGAGACTCAAACTTTAACCATTCAGGTGAGGCTAAAAGACCCTGTTTAGCCCATCCTTCATTTCTCAGTAACACAAAACCCAAAATCTTAAGGAAAAAAGCTAGGTTGCTAGCTTAAAATATTAAATGTGACCAGATTCAGTTTAAGTGGATTTCTTTGTTGGATATTCACAGAAGAGTTTGTATGCGAGAGAATCGCACCAACACTATGTTGATATTGCTTCCATGACTAATAAGGGATCCCTTTGGTCACCATGCTTCCCAGCCTCTTTCCCGCTGTACCACCACCAAACCGCTCTTGACATCTTGGCAAACTGATAGGCAGGTAGTGGAGTCAGTTACTTGTCAACTTATAGCTCTGACGTATAAGAAGAGGTGACCAAATGTTAGTTGGGATCCTCCCTGAGTGATACACGGAGAAGTGGGAAGTCTGATTTGTAGCCGATTAGTAATCATGAAGAAAATGTAGGTTAGAACCAGAGAAAGAACCTTAGAGCTCATTTGGTCCACCAAGCTCATTTTCAACTGAGAAGACTGAGCCCCAAAGAAGAAAAACTAACAAATTTAGACTTAGCAAATCTAAATCATGGCCATTGCACATGACTATCTCTTCACCTTCTGAAGATGATCTTTCATTCTAAAGGACCAAGCACCATTCTCTTTGGTTGTTTTTCTGTTGTTGGTTCTTCTTTCTCAGTGTTCTAGCCTTCTTATGATTCATCCTTGAAATGAATTACTTGTGTTCATTTATCACTCAGTCTGGAGCTTTCTTCCTAGTGTTAAATATTTGGGCTCTGGGACTACCTGAATTTGACTCCCACTGTCATCATGTAATAATGGAGAGATGTCAGAAGAGAGATTTAAGCTCCCTGGCCTCCATTTCATAGGTTTTTGGAGAGAATAAAATGAATTGTGTGTGTGTGTGTGTGTGCATACCACATGCATCAAGGCATGCATGCTCAGCACTATGCCAGGCATATAGTAAATGATCAATAAGTGCCACCTATTATTTCCAAGACTAGTATATTTAATTATCAAAATCCTGGCTATTTAATTAAATTCAGTAAATAAACATATGTCACAAATCAAGCCATCAAGTGGGTCACTGTCTCTTTGTTGGGAGTAGGAGTGACACAAGCATGATGTGTAGAATGGCAACCATTCATCAACCAGCACTGGGTGCCAAGCATTGTGGTAACAGCTTTTGCTGCTTTGAGTCATTTGCACCTTAACTCCAACCCTGTTTTCCTGTCTTCAGATGAGAAAACCTAACCAAGTCAGAAAGAGACAAGGTGACTTGCCCAAGATCACTTTGAGACAAGACAGGAAACTATAGGGGTCTGACGCCAAAGCCTTTTGTCTCTAAACCGCTTTGTTTTTTCCTTCTCTAGAATGTGCTCAGCTCTGGAGGGTGGACAATCAGCCCACGCACACAGAGAACAAGGAACGTGATACATGACAGCGAAACTTGAAGCCTCCCCATGACCCTTCTGATTCTTCTCCTCACCCAACTGCCTGAGAACTGGACCTTTGACATATGCCACTTATTTGTTGTAGCATGTGTATTCCTTCCACAGAGTGTAGATTGTAATTTCAGACTTTCATTACATGTCTTCTCTTGCCATTATTATATCTTAATTTCTGTGCCATTTTACTAAAAATGATTCAAAACAAAAGCGGTTAAAGCTCATTCTAGGTAAACTCAAGAAATGGATTTTTTTTTAAGTTCATCAACTTTATGCCATCCACAGACAGAAAAATTAAGCATTTTATTGGTGGCTCACTGCCTCCAAAAAACTCTTTCCTTCACAGGTACCGCTTTTGAGTATCTACAATGACGTACAAGCACATACTGCAGGCATCCCTTTCTATGGAAAATGTCAGTTCAAAGGAACGAGGTTGGGTTTTTTCACAGCACGGGAAGTTTAGTAGATGCTGAATAATAACATTGATACCGATGACAGTGCTCTAATCAATCATTTTTATTACTTTTGGTTAGGAATATTACGTACAAGCATATTCACACGTGTGTGTTTGTATCATATGTGTTCGCTTTTTACAAAGCTTCTAAATAAAATTGGAGAATATCCAATCCAGGAAGCTCTAATGTCAATCTTTATTTTACAAGCGCCAAAATGTATACCACAAGAAGTTGTCATTCATCATGACACTTCACATGTACTGCACTGTTTTAATAGAAAAATCTAAAGTTTCATTATGTTAATGTTGAGCAATGAAAATAAAACATCATAAAAAAATAAGCACTTTTTGGTGATTGGCTATAGCAATTTTCTGTCAGCTTCAAGCACAATAAAAGCGCACTGAATGGGAAGAGAACAAATGCTGGGAATCCAGCAGCGCCCAGGAGGTTTGACTGGATCCCTGGAAATCTAGTGTTGATAAGCAACAGCCCAAATAAAACACAACTTACCCGGTAAATTAGGTAATAATTTAATTGTTCCGGAGAAGAATTCACAGAGCGAGTCTTCTATACGCCATGCTGAAAGCAATCTATCCAGTTCTCATTCAAAGTGATAATGATTTGTTTAAAATTTAATAACTGATTTAGGTCCAATTCAAAATAGAGAAATATTACAGGGCAAATGCAACACAGAAGCTCATTAATAACTTTGTTGGTTTTTTTCTTTTGTAGGCAACACAACTATGGAATTGATATGCTAACAAGAAAACCGTGTAGCACATGATCATTGTGCAGACAAAGAGAAAAAAGAGCCACATATACAATACTGTTGTGAATGAGCTTACATATTTTCTGTATTCAGACACATATTCATTGGGCAATTAACTAAAAATGTAGATTGGTATAAGAGGGAAGTGTAAATTTAGCTTAATATAAAATACCTTAATCTTAGGAAGTAAACTATTTCTTTTTAGGTGTCTAAACTTCCACATTTAGAAGACTTTATTTGTATTTTTTCTCCCCACTTTTTGCTTAAAACTCCTTTATTACAGCAATTCTCTTTGGAATGAAACAAATATTTGTCATGTGTGGTGTGCTAAGCAAGATGTAATATTTATCATATGACAAACCTATAGTAAGTGATCAACCAATATGTATTGAACTGAGTTAAATTTAATACTTTTATACAAACACCCTCCAGAGTAGCCCACTCTTTGAAGACGGATAAACAGCAGCCCCCTCTGATGTGCTAAAGTCCAAAATATCCATCCATTCTTTTATAAACCACTCGAAACAGAGAAAGGACATGCACATTAGATGCTGAATCGACAATTTTCTTCATTTTCTCAACAGATCATTCAGGTAATAAAATTTTTAGAACATTTTCTAGGAGATGATAAAGATGTTTTTATCTGCCTTTCCTGAGGCAAGTGAGTATACAATTCTTGAATATATCCCACCCTTTAATGAAAAATGTCTTGAAATACTAGTCAATTTTATTAAATTTTGTCTATTTTGTGTCAAACAGTTTAGAAACAACTTTGGGAAACTGTAATTTTCCTCTACTATTCCAATTCCTTTAGATCCCAGAACAGTAACTGCCCAAGAAAGGCAAACCAGGAAATGATTGCCCAGGTTGGCATTTTGTGTACCTCTTTTTGTATATCTGGTTTTGGTTTTGCCTTCTGTTAATAGCTGATGAGCATTTTGCTGAAGTCTTGATTGAATAAACCTCCACTTCTAGTTAGGATTTATAGGCAATAGGGGTCTATATTGTGTTCTGTATATTTTACAATCCCCTGAATTGCAAGATATCTGTATTTTCCCAATCTTCCCAGAGTACCTATGTTGTTACAAACTTCGGTGCCTGACAGTTCCTCATTGGTTCTCTTAAATTCGCCTTACAAGAATGGGTCCTTTCCACTCTCCAAGCCGGCAAGCATTATCTAACATATGACATGTGACCTCTTTTCAAGAGTTCAAATGATGTGTAGAAAAAAATAAATGCATGTCCATTTTGTAGGAGTCGTAGAATTTCTTTTGGTTTGAGGCACTCCTGGATCTTTTTAGTCCCAATGTCCCTGCTTCTCTGATGGCAGAGGCAGTTCTGTGGCCACTCCACTGACGCTGCCCACACAAGGGTCACACACACTGCTTGAGTCCATGTAGGTCTGTCTTTGTTTTGTTGTCTGTGCAGACGATAGTCACCCAACTGCATAGAAAAAGTGCTAGACTGGAGCTATGTGCACATAAGTAAAATATTGTTGAATAGTGCCTAAGGAAATAGAAGAACATTATTTTAAATTATCTCGATCATAAAATTCAAGTGAAGATTTGGCAATATAGCAGCAAAAAAAAAAAATCTCAAAACCAGTTATTCCTTTTAAATAAAAACAAAAATGAGAAACAGTAACTATTAGAAATCCCACCTGGTGCTTTTCCTGTCTTAATGATGCTTCTTAAATTGCATGTGGGTAAATGGTAATTTTGTCTCACACCATTAAAAACTAATGGAACCCTTGATGATAAGAAATGCCATAGCTAGCTTGTTGGAAAACGTTTAATTAATAAAGTAATAAAATTATTGTAAACTAGTGCAGTTTCAGGGAGAATTCAATGGGATATAAAACAGATAAAACATCCTAGAGACTTTGTATAGGAAATAAACATTACTATATAAAATACCATATAAAGTTAAAGGGGTTTGTGTCACATAGAATTAAAATTAGCTATTATACTAATAAAAAAAAAGATTATTCTTTCAGGGAAAAAAATGCTAGAGAACACAGTTTATAAAAAGCTGTTTTTAATCATCCAAGAAAGTATCTAAATTACAAAAAAAAAAAAAAGTAGGGTTATTGTATGTTTCCATAAGTTAGAACTCAGAATTTAGACCTAGTTGTATTTATAATAACATTATCTTAAAACGATCAAACAATGGGTTAAAATGAAAACATTAAGTCATTCTCCTGCCTTTTAAAATTTTTTTAGATTGTCTTCTACCCTTTTCCCAGTACACTTTACATTTTTGTCGGACCTTAGGACTTGCTCAAGAACCCCACATGAGGAAGATTCCAAAACATTTGGGGGTAAATCACTGAATAATGAATATTCCAGTGATCAGACCAGTTTTCCCTTGACTCTGTAGTGTAGTGTTGATTCTTTTTTAATACTCAAATCCTCCTTAGGGTTATATTACTCTGAGACTAACACTACGGTATATAAGGGACATGAATTTAGTGTCCTCACAAACATTAGTAAAATTTGGGATCTTCAGTCAAGAAAAAAAAAGTCTCAACACACATAAGAATTTTAAAGCTTAAATTTCCAGTTTCACAGTATTGTGAAAGTGGCCATTGCAATGGTGGTGTTCACTATCTCCTCAGTACTTGTAGAAATCCTACTGAGTCTTAGATGTTTCCCGATTCCAGTTTTCATGTATTCATTCTTACAAGCTTGGACGCATGCATTCCTTCACTAATATCAAAAATATTACTAAGAAATTTCTGTTCTGAGTGCAGCTATCCGGGGACAGCGCCCTGGACCAGAGAGAGATCGCCACCCTCACGCAATTTATACCCTAGTCCTTATTTCCATTTTATTGTGAAACTAAACAAGTTTCTCCTTTTTTTAGAGACTATCCACAATCTTTTCCAGTTGCCTATGTTTTTTGTCAATAAACTCTCTAATTATTTTTTTAATTTTTTATTTGATTTTTTTATCCCTAGTTGTTTGGGGATTTTTTTAATTAAAACTTACTGTACTTATAATCTTGAGGAAGGGGAGGCCTCCCTTAGCAAATCTCCAAAGCATAAGTTGTAAGAAAAAGTCGGTTTTAATATATGAGGAGCTTTTTATAATCAATTATAAATAAATGATATAACAAAAATTAGCAAAGAACTTTAACAAATAATTTGCAAAAGAGAATAGGTAAAAGAACAATAAACATAAGATAAACAGCATCATTACAAATAAAAGATATCCAAATTAAAGTAGTTATAAGGTTTTTTCCCTATCAAATAGAGAAAGAAAAATCAAAAGTTGATTATACCACAGTAAGTAACAGTATGTGGCGAGAAGTACTCTCATACTTTGTTGGTAGTACCACTTGAGGTGTTAATTTGAAAATACTTATCAAAATTTAGACTGTATGTACACTTTGACTCAATGGTTCTACTCCAGAAATTTATCTAAATGGAAAAATACATAAATAAATAAATATGTACAAGGATATTCACAGCAGCATTGTTAGTTGAAAATTTAGGGGGAAAAAATAAGGGACGGGTGAATAAATTATCCATATATAAAATAAAAACACAATGAAAGGATAGCTATCTACGTATTTGCCTGGAAAGACATCTATGACATTGGCAATTGAGAAAGACAGATTGTGGAAAACTATGTATAATTTGATATCATTAAAACTATATGTGAGTTTATCTGCAAGATACTCCCTAAACTCTAACCACTGTTTCTAGTGATAGAATTATGGTAGATTGTAAGGCACTTTTGATTTTCCATTTTATGTATTTCCCTTTTGTTTGCAATGAACATTTATTGAGGTTGTAAACAAAAAATAAATATTTTCCCCTTTAAACAATGTAAAAGTCATTCTACTCTCAAAAATGTAAAGACTAAATTTAACTATCTGGTTCAGTTTTCAGAATGCCAAGGTCAATTGGCTAGAATCCAAAAAATGAAGTTTTTTGGCTTTTTTGGTGAGTTTGAAGTATTCACATTGTCATAATTTATGAAAACTTTTAAATATCTAGGATCAAATATCATAACTGAAAAAAGAAAGTAAATGCCTAACATTTATTTCAACATATCTTCACACACTTTTCTGCAACACAGGGAGAAGTGTCCTTGAGAATTCAAATCATTGTTTCTTCAGTCACAGCAGCAAAAAAGTTCATTTCAGAATTGCAATAGCATTTATCACATGGTTAATCATTAGTTATAGAATATGACTAGTTTTTTAATCTAGGTACCCAGCAGTGCTAAAGATATCATTGAATTACACGTATAGTCACTTGAGAATTTTGTATATATTGTATTTAAGAAACTTTAACTAACTGGACACTGTCATTCAGAAATTTTTGAATGCTCAATGTGTCTAAACCAGCTGTTCCGAGTGCCACAGAGCATATCCCAGCACCATTCATTCTAGGAATTCAGAATAGGAATTACTGAGAAGCCAGCACGACCATTGACCAGGTCGCTCCTTCTGTGTTACACCAAATTGGTCATCAAGCCAGGTGATGCTATCTTCTCAGTGTTTCTCTCATCTTCCCTCTTATTCATCCACACCCATAACCTTAACTCAGGCTGGAATGTCTCACCTGGCTTTCTAGTCTCATGACCCCAGCCACATTTCCTTCTAATCCCTTCTCCTGACTGGTATTTCTAAAAGGCTGATCGCATTACATGGCACACTTGCTCAAAACTCTTTTGTGAATTCCCGAGGCTTTCCTGAAATCCAGCTTCCTTGAAAGCCAAGCCTTTCAG